TCCACGGCGCATGACACCTTACTCGTACGATTCGGTCGATGCTGAACGAAGCTGGTCTTCAGAGCGTAATCGATACAGTGGGGGATCCTCGTTCTCGACGGCAGGTACCCTCCCATCCTCATGGCCGCAAGATGAAGGGCGATATCCACATTCCTGGAATCCGCGATCGAGGGTCCGAGCAGTACGAGGGCTTGATGGCGGACGTGACGTTGGTCCACCCTTACATTGGTAGCTCTGCCGACCTGACCAAGTGGGGGGAGGTCAACCTCGACGCCCTCCATGTTGCAGCGTCTGAGAAGATTCGCAAACATCGCGCTGCATATGCCATGACTACTCCTCCTCGAGCGTTCATCCCTCTTGCCATCTCGACGGACGGTACCCTGCATCCTGACACCCTCCGCTTCATCTGGTATCTCGCGGACATCATTGCTCAGCGCTCAATGCCTCTTGAGGATGCGGCGTTTGGTCGGCACTTCGTGCCTGATGACGGACCTGCTGCTGAGGTCTTGGCTCGCAAACGCGCCGCCACCTATCAGCGCCTCACTATGCAGCTGACGCTGGAAGCGCTCTTGTCTGGTGCGAGGCGCATGACGCCCTTGCGGGCGCAAGCACTTCTCGAGCCAGAGGACAGCTCCTCCTCGGACTTTGTCGAGTCGCCCGAGGAGTCTTCGCCGGAGGTCTCCGACTCCGATGGGGTACACCCTTCGAGTGGCCCCGACGATCGGCGCGGAGCTGGCGAGGCGTCTCCGTCCCTCACTGTGACGTCGGGTGCCTCCGGAGAGCTCGACACCACTGGGGTGCTTGCTGCTGGTCCGAGCTCGCCTGCTTCCTCCCCGGCATCGGTCGGGTCACGCCGGTCCTTGGGCATTGCCGCGGCGTCGCCGCCGTCACGGGCTAGCGAGGAGGACTACCTCGAGCGGTACCGTGTTCCTGTGTCCAGCCTCCCTCCGTCCGCTGCCCAGGCGGACTCCCGGGCAACGCCGGCTTCTTGTCGGCGGCTGCCCTTTCTCCGTCCGCGGCCGCCCGCTTTGTGGCGGCAGCGGACGTCTCGACTGACGTGTCAGTCGGCTGCCTCCGGAATCAGTCTAGGGATTTATTCCTCCTGCATGCTCCTGCTGCTTGTTAGTATAGGATTTACTGGCAGAAGGTAAAAAGTGCCTCAAGCAAAACAAAGCATGAACAAGCTTGTTGCTTGATTGCTTGACCCTTAGGCTGCTTGTCGGTACGGTCTGCGCGGCTTCGCGCTTGGGCTGGCGCTGCCGCGTCTGGGTGCCAGCAGTGCTGGTTCTTTTCGGGCTTGTGTTTTGTGTGTGATTGTGCAGCTTCTCGCTGTGGACTGTGTGCCTGCCGGTTCAGCTTGTTCATGCTTGTGATTGTGCAGCTTCTCGCTGTGCGCTGTGTGCCAGGAGGTTTAGCTTGTTCCTGCT